GTTGGGAATGAGTCACCCAATTAATGGTGGAAGCTTTCAGACCCGTTTTTTCAATCTCCTTGTTTCAAACAAGGAAAAGACAGAACACTTTGAATGTTCTCTGGCTGATTGGATCCAGTTACCTTTTGGCCAGAGAAACTAAAGCCCTTTTGATTGAAGAGTAGACAACAATATTGCCTTGTCCCAATAGGTGGGGGAGGAGGCTTGCATGAATTATTTGACAGTCAGTAAAACTTGTTGATATACTAAACGTGATCAAAAAGCGAGTCTTGTACAATTGATCCTGGTTTTGTACACAAGTTTCTCTCCAAAAGCAAACTAATGGATTTACTGGCATCTCTAACTAATACACTAACAGGAAGGGAAAGAATGTTGGTTCTTTAATACCTAGTAAGAATAAAAACTGGATACATGTGTGCAGAGGTTAAGATCTGTGGCTACTAAAATTCTTTAATACCATAAAATTTGCATAACTAAACTAGGAAAATTTATATGGTTGTACTCTTAAAGTGTATTGCAGTAAACGGAAACAGATACCTTTTTAATATTTTTAAGAGTTCAATGTAAAAATGAATGCATTTATAAACAGAGTGATGGGTGTGTAATGCGAGAAATTAGTCAGGAAGGAGAAGAAGAGAGAGGAACTGAGAACCAAAAATGGCGATAATTGACCAAGCAAGGGTTTTCCCCTTCTTATGACTGTTTAAGCATATCCAATAATGATTCCCTTCTCATTTTCATTCAACTTTCACGTTTTCTTCCTCTTACAAGTGCTCAGTCAATAATGTATGCCAGTTTTCCTTTTCCACAGTGAATATTGAGTTCACATTGGAGGCAGTTTGGTATGTTAATTCCGAACCTTTTTCTTCAATGGACAGTTGAGAAGTTAAACATGACTCTATTTTTTCATTGGTCTTGATTTTTCCTAACATTTTCCCTAAGAAAACCCAACACAAGATAAATATCAACAACTTGGAATTCTCTACCAAATAAACCTACAACCCGAAAGTTGGAAGATTCACTTCTTCCATTTGCAGGTATAATCACTAAACCTCAGCTCCGACGAGTTCTTTGGAAATTAGCAATTATGATCTTTTGTTGTTCTACACCGAACCAAGCAGTATAGGTATATTCACGAGGGAAAACCTATACAGTATAAGAAATAGCTGGGTCACTCCCGTAAAAGTTGGGCTTAATCCGTACAATCCTGAATAAATCTTCGTTGGATTAATCCGTATTTATGAATCAGGTAATTAAAAAAAAATAACATGTTAATCTAAACCGCTGAGGGTTCATTCTTAGGTGAGATTAATTGGAGCTAAATTCCACAACTCCAACTTGTCCGAACGACAATGAGGTACATACACAAGACACGTTTAAGTTAACGTACACCCCGCTTAAAGTATATTGTAATCGATGTACCTGTCGAAATGATCCTTGGAGTACATACAGTTTGAGAATTGGATAGATTTCTATATTCAGGGCCAATTACTTTTAAGTCATAGAAGATATACGTGTGTTTATATTCAGGAGCTTTTAATATTAGAAAAGGCTACTTCAATTAACAAGATTTTGTTATAATTTCAAATTGGATGATTCGCTGATCCAACTGACAGAAATTTATAAATGGAATCATTATTTTTTTACTTTTACTGAAAATTTGGAATAAACTACTCTGTCTACATCCTTTTTATTAAGATAATTTATATTTGGAACTAGATCATAGTATAAAATCATTTTAGTGCTGGTCTATAAACTATTCATTCTTAATGGCTTTTATTTGCACATATTTACGAATAATTATATTTATAAGAAAAAATCACACCTTTTTTTTCAAATGTAAATAAATTTTAATCACTTTTACTTCATTTAAGTAAGTGTATGAGCTTTAATTATTATCTTTTATTTTACGAGAAATGCATTTTAAGAAGAATAACAAAAAATAATAGAAATTTTTTGTTACTGTTATCTTATTTTCTTAGTTAATGAGTTTATATTTTTGTTTAAATGAATACCGAGGTGATATAAATGTTAATATTTTTAGACATGAGAGACCTAGCCGTTAGATAGTTGGTAATGTAAAAGTTAAAGTTTGATAGAGGTTATTGTACAAAATAAATTATCAACAATATATTTAGGTAATTTTATAATCTAAAAATAAATATTTATCATGTACAACACATCTAATTCGAATATAGTATAAAAAGAAAAAAAGTATTTTGAGTGTTTGAGAATTTCAAATATAAGGATGACTCAAATAATTTTATCTTATTTTCATGAGAGATTTATCTTATTTTGCTAGAGACTATCTCTTAAATGTCATTAATTTAATTAAATTTTATATTTTTAATCGCTCTTTTACATCAAGTTCTTAGAAAATATCACATAAAACAGAATTTATTTTTAAATTAAATTAGTAAAATTAAACGTCGTAGCTATTTTCATAATCAGTAAGAATAAATTTTCCTTATATTTGAAACACGAAGAAGTATGCTATTACAATTCAATGCTTATGCATGAATAATGTAAAACAATTTCAAACTATACCAATAAAAAAGAATTTTGGTGTGATTTTTGAAATAATTATTGTAAAAATTAACAAATATATGCGTATAGTATAGGCCGTTTAGTCAAAGACAAAACGTAGTTGGACCAACCGAATCCAATTAAATGGTCAAATGTAGAGGACACGTCCTCAACTTGACGGGTATGTTTAATATAATTAGTGAGCACAAATGTAGTTTAACAAAGGTAGATCTCGAATAAGCTAAATAACAAAATTAAGATTTGTTTGAGTCGGTAATAAGTAAAAGTGTATTGTGAGTAATATAAATAAAATATCTAAGTAAAATAGTTGGCCCTTACTGTTACAGTATTAACATGTACTTAGAAAAATATTGACTTAAACATCCAAATATCTTGTGCAAATGTAACCCAAATAGTTTGGATGATCAATTAGACCGAATACTAAGAAACTAAAGACCATTAAGTGATGCAAAGACTAAAACATCTAAGAAGTCATGACAGTAGAAGAGCTTAACAGGTGAAAACAATATGCTTGCAATTAAATAATAATGTAATATTGTTTTGTGTCAACGCACAACCAATTATGTCAAATTAAATGTTAAATTAGAAAGAAAGAAAAAAGAAAGCATATGCTAGTAATATGAATAATTTTACAATATTCAATTACGAATAATTATACATAATAAGTTGATTCTCTTCTATAACTAGCTTAAAAGTTATAAGTACGGAAACTTTTGATTGATTAATAACATGGATTAAATTTATTTAAGTATAATTTGTAAACAAATAATAAATAATAAACTAGTGCTGTCAAGATGGGTTAGAACTGCAAGTCAATCCGGTCCATCACGGGTTCGGGTTGGGTTAGGTTTGAAAAAAATGAAATTTTTTTATACAGACCAAATTTTAACCCGGCTCACTTAGAACTCGACTCACCCCTATAGAATTCATGGTGAGCCGGGTTGGCTCACCAACCCACGTAATTTAATTTAATTATTTATTATTTATTATTTTAATATTATTAGTTAACATTTTTTTTATTGTATTGTAGATGAGAATAAAGAAAAAGATGTTTCAAGAGCAAAATATTATAAATTTATCAAGACTCTAATCTTATAAGTGAATAAGTGACAAAATTTATTAATACTATAAACTTATTTATTGGCTTTTTTGGTTTGCTTTTGGATTACATTTGAGTTGTATATTAACTTTTTATTTTGAATTGTTTTTGGAATTTAACATCATTTTAGAGAGAGAAATTAATTAAATTTGAATTACAAAAAAACGTAATTTTTTTTATTTTAAAAAAAAACTTGTAAACTCATCAACTAGTGGTAAACTGAGTCGGGTTCAAATTTTTTCGATTCTAATAAATAAGTCAGGTTGAGTTAACTCATTAAGTAATTAACTTGTAGCAAGGTGGACCGAATTGAGCCGAATGATCAGTTTTGATACCACTATAATAACCTAACACTATATAGTCACCACATAGGTTGAATGAGTTTCATAATAGTTATGCTTGCTATTTTTTATCGGTTAATGTAAAATTTGACTCACAAATTAATGCAAGCGTTAGATTTATGGGTTTATTTTGGGTGGCTGATTCACTGACTAGAACAAGTAAAAAGAAGCCTCCATAGTCAGCATGCAAAAGCTTTTGCTAAGAGAAATATGATGCTACACATACGCCGCCACATTTTCTCGTAACAGATTTCTCAATTACATCTTTGCATAAACTCCTTTGCATTTACAACTTATCAAGACTGCCACATTTTCAACATGCGAAACGTGTACCTTCTTGCAAATTTTTCTGAGTGTGCAAATCCGAGAGGGATATGGATATCAAATAATTAAAATCCAGCAAAATCCGCGAGGACTAAATGTGCATTTTTGGTATGATGATTTGTTCTATTTTTATAAATAGTGATGACGAGGATGACGTGAGCATAAGAAAAACATGACAGTGCAAAAGTTGTGCAGTACTTTTTTTTTTAGGTTTTCCGTCATTGGCACATACAAATATGCTGATGTTTTATGTGCGTGACAATGACTCATACATGCTCGATTCTCCCCTTATGTTTCGGTTCCATTCAACTACTAAATAGTAAATACATATGTGCACACATCTGTCTCTAAATTTACACATAAGAAGCTCCCAAACAGAATATAAAGATTTGGCATTCCTTCCCACTGTCCCCCCGCTTCCTAATGGACCCTGCAGATTTATCATCAGGTGAAGTTTCTTACAATAATTAGTTTAAATCAATGTTGTATATATTATTATTCGTAAGCCATCGATTTAATTTCTTTTTCTTTTTATTGACATACAAACCACCTTACAATTTCCCTGTCTCAGAGTATTGGTTTTTCGAAGTCAACGGGAAATTCTAAGACGGCAAGGTTCCAATCCAATCTAATGACTATATATCATTTTCTTGTTGTTTGGGTTTCTGTGTAATCACTTAGAAAACAAGAAAAACAGCGCTCCATTATCGCCACGTTGGCTCATCCTCTTTTTATGTATACGCGCTTTCTTCGCCATGCCTACGTTTGAGAGTTGAATGTTCTTAACTACAGCCTGGGAATCTCTACATATACATGCACAACTCCACCATAAATCGTCGAACAATATTCAACTAAAATATTTTTCGTTTGTGTAAGATGGAGATAATTTACCAGACTCACATCGACAGGGAGATTGAATCGCTCATTGAAAGAATCCATCCACCCAGGTTCTAATTAAACTTTTCCTTCTAACATCTCTTAATCTTCTTCTTCCTACTGAAACAAGTTGTACAGTTGCTTATTTTAAATTCGTCTGGATCATAAAATAGATTATATATAAGATTAATGAAGTCAGTTTACTGTTTAGGTAAACTTGTAGGCAAAAACCATTAAAAGATAAATAACTATATCTTGTGTATAACACTCTCTTCTATTAATTTAACATGTTTCTTGTTGTATATCAGCAGGGTCTGTATAGACAATGATTCCTGCAGCGATTGCACAGTGGTGAAGGTTAGATTTAATTATGAGCCGTATGAGTTAGGCATTATTCATTATAGTAGAATTTGAATGTGCTTTCGGCCACTGAATTTAAACCAGCCCTAGTAGTCATAGTGATGTGAATCACTGAGCATAACGCAGTAATTAAAAAGATAGTGTAGATACATATCCAACAGGGAGATTTCAGTATGTTAGAATGCATTATAGGAAGAGCTTAACAAGTTGCCATTCTCTTAATACAAAATCATAGGTGTTGGTGAGAGATAATTGGTAGATATTAATTTGTGGAGGATGTTCTGAAACAGATTGACAGCGCAAACAGACATGGGATATTGTTGGAGATGGTGCAGGTGTTGGCAGAGCTTGATCTCATCATTTCCAAATCATACATTTCTTCTGATGGTGGATGGTTAATGGATGGTCAGTATGCCTCCCTTTCCACACGCTCTGCACTTTTTTGTTATTTGCATGCCAACGTTAATCCTTATTTTCTGTAATTCTGTTATTTTCCATATATAACCATTTTTAAAATAAAAAGTTAATTTTTAGCTGAAGTTCACAACATTCTTGAATTAAGGTTTAACATATTTTTTCTTAATTGATGTTTGTTGAGATATTTTTCCCCTAACATCAACTATAATAATTTATATAACATTGATAGTGATTATTTTGAATGTCATTAGCTAACATTTTTTCTTTAGCCTACTTTTTAAATAATATTTGCACACACAAATATAATCCTATCAACACTAGCTAGTAATCAAAACATTAACTAATATGGACCAAAAAATAACATTTGTCAATATTTATGAAAAATAATTCTATTATTTTTCATCGAAAAATTAACTTTCTATCAATATCAACTAAAAATCTTTGACTTAAAACGATTTAATGTAGTTTCACTTTATCTTTGATAGAAAAATAAGCATTGACATTTGTAAAATAGTACTCATCAATTTTACTCACAATAATGTTAGTCCATAAATAATAACATTGACCAACGTTAAAAAAAATCATTTTGGTCGATATTAATTGAAAAATAATATTAACATCAATCAAAAACAATCTCAATTGATGAGGTGTCAACAAAAAAATTATGTATGACATCAATAAGAATATATAGCTTGTTAGAAGTCTCATATCGACTAGAAATAAGGTTAATTCATAGTTTATAAGTGAGTGCAAACCTCACTCTACAAGCTGGTTTTGTGAGGTAGAGTTAGGCTTAAAGTTCACTTCTAATATGGTATCAGAGTCATGGTTATAGTCTATTCTAGTGGAGAGTTACTCCCTGCACCACCACACAGTGCTCCTAGCACCTCTTTATTCCTATTTTACCCTTCAGTCATATTTAAACGGATATCAACGGATGTCGACATCTGCATAGATAACGAGCATCAAGCCAATTTTCATTTATATTAACCTTTGCCACATCTCACAAACGATTTCTCCATTCAATCGGAAATCACATGTGAAATCAAACCCATTTTCCAAAGACTCTATCTGATTCGGAAACGCACTCTCCATGGCCATCAAACATGCACTCCTTAATTCTCAGCAAGATATCATATAATATTAAGAGTAAGACTTATCATAGGCAGGGATAAGTATTACAACTGGTATCTTAGATAAAACCCAAAAAGGTGTTTGCGTGTAGAGAGAGAAGGCAGCGAAGGCTTCCATGGTTCAGGCAGCAACACCAACAAAATAATTTTAGATTTTTTTAAAAGCTAAGGTCATGGATACGGAAACATGGTTGAGCAGTAGAGATAATATATTTAGACCAGAAAAATGTGTTACGATACAAATAACTATTGTTATTAGTCATTCTCTTACAACTGAACTATTGAACTATTGCTACTAGTCATTATTTTAAAGTTGACAAGTTTGACATTAGTTAGTTTTATTTTGTTGATAACAGTTTAAACACAACTCTTTGTGATACCAAAAAGTAGTTTGTTTGCAATTAGAAAAAGATAAAAGTGAAGGGGTGTAGGGAGATTTAGAGTTTTAAAAAAGTAAATAAAATTAAATGGTAAAAGTTAAATTAACTTAGGGTATTTTTGAAACAAAAAAAAATAGTGAAGAGGTGTAGGGAACACTTGGGGTGGTGGAGGGAGCAACTCTCATCCTAGTGATATTTGTTGTTTGTTGGACATATTGTTTCACCTCCTATCGGGCCGCTATCGGAGTTCCACATCGACTAGGCCAATTCATAGTTTATAAGTTCACTTCTAAACGTGTTAATAAAGGTAACATTGATTAATTTTGTTTTTTAATAGATAAATGTTAATAGTTAATATTTTGTTAACCACATAATTGTACCTACAACCTCTTAATCCTTTATCATATAATTCTAATTAAAAATAATTTAAATCTTTTACTTTCTTTATATGAGACTTTTTGAAATGTTTTTGGTTTTACTCATTTTTCTCACAAAATTATAAAATTTTAATATTTGTAATTCTTTTTTCTCAAAAACAATCTATTTTATCACAAAATATCTCATTTATTTTAAAAATATGATCCTTTAAAAAATGTTTTATTCAAAAATTGCTGAGAGGAAAATGGGAAAGAGAAATTTATTAGGTTCAAATTAGATGTGTCAATTGGCCCATCACACAGGGTATGGTCTTGGGTAGGACAAAAAAGTTAAAGAATAAAAAAGTTTTTCATTGCACATACCTAAAATCTTCGTAAAAGTTTTGTGGTAATTCCATCAAGTTTACTTTTAAACATGAAAAAAAAAAATTAAGGGTTGAGTATCTTCTTAGTTTCTAAACTTTACACAAATTTGGAATTTGTCATTTCTTAAAATTTTAATTCATTTTAGTTCTAAAATTTTAAAACTAAATGAATATAGTTTCAATCCAATTACATTAATTTTTTAACATATTAAACACGTTTTAAAGCTAACATTGAAACAAGAACATGTAAAATAATAAAAACAATCAAAATACTAGCATACAACGTGTTTATCACATAAATGTTTTTTAACATATATGGGTTAAAAAAATTATAACTATTCATTTTTAAAGTTTAGAGACCAAAATGTATCAAAGTTTCATATACAAACGAATTCTAATTTCACATAAAAGTTCAAGAACTAAAAACATGTTTAACTCTTTTTTTAAATATAAATATGACGACTCATCTCAACTTCCAATATGAATAGGCTTGTCTCGTCCTTTAGCCAAACTGGCCAAGGTTAACCTTTAGCTAGGGCCAGCTCATCTCGACCTTCTTCCCAGGTTGACTCTTTACAAACTTCAGTCCAGGTTAGTTTGAGTCAACATTCTACCTAGCCTGGGTCGAGTAGTCTTGACCTTCATCTTCGATCACACTAGTCCTGACTTACAGTCCAAGCCAACTGTCTTGACCTTTATCTTAGTGAGACCAAATTTAGGTTGGGTGAAAGTTGAATTTGGCCAAATACATGCAAGGGCAGTCTTGGTCAAATTTGGTCAAATTTCAGCTAGGTCGAGTCGGTCAAAATTTTGTCAAGGCTAACTTGGCTGAAATTTCAGCTAGGTCGAGTCGGACCAAGGAAAACTCAATCGAATGTTGGCCAAATTTAGGCTGGGACCCATGTTGACCTTCAACCCAGGTTATCCCTTCTCAACCATAAGCCCGAATAGGTTCGTCTAGACCTTCGACATGGGTCGACTTGTCTTGATTTTTAGCTTGAGCCAACCCATCTTGACCTTAAATTCATATTGGTTTGTATCGATTTTTGGTCTTAGTGAGCTCAGCTCCAACCTTCGGTTCACTAGAACCGTTTTTAAATTTTCATCTGAAATGAAGCGTCTCGACCTTAGGTCTAAGCCAACATGTATCAATTTTTGCTTCGTCTCGACTTTTAGTCTGGGTCAACCTGTGTCGAGTCATAGACTGATACAATACATCTTAATTTTTCATCTAAAACGACACTATTTGACCTTTGACCTAAGTTGACCAGTCTTGTCCTTCAACCCCAAGAAAATTTCCGTCTGAAACAACACCATTTGACCTTTAACCTAAGCTGACGAGTTTTGTCCTTCAACCCCAAAACGGTTTGTCTCGATATATGACTCAAACAAAAGGTATTATTTTTAAAAGTTAATTTAAATCTTATATTCCAAATTCACTTTCCTATGATTCTAACCTACTTTAAAATGAATTTTGAAAATGAAATTTGGAAAAAGAATTTTGGAAGTTAATTTTTTTTATCCCTACATTTTCCTAAAAGGAAACTTATTCATATATAGATTAGGACTCACTCACTATAGTTCAAATACATAACTCTAGTTGAATTAAAAAAGAGAAATCTATTCTCTTCCTCCCACCTTTTTCTTAAATTGCTTTTCAACTTTTTTTTCTTAAAAAATCTCTTGAGTTCTTGCTAAAATGTTGGGACACATTAATCTCCATATATCTTATTTGGAAAAAGAAATTATTGAAAATTTTCTACCCCTCCATACATTTTCCTGAAAATGTAAAACTTCTCATATATAATATTATAGCTTTGTCTCTCCTAGAAACTAGTTCCTTGTATTATTTATGGCTGCCACCAGCACAACTTCGTAGAACCCTTTTTTAGTGGGCGCAACTATAGATGTACACATATTTTTCTTCAGTGTGGTTCATTGTTCTTGATCATAGTAAATAATGTTAGAAAAAGAGAACATGATTTTACAAGGAAGAATTAAGTACCATCAACAAAATATTTATCACTTATTTTATTCCTTGAAACTTTGAACAAGGAAGATTTCTCTCTCTTTTTTAGTCTCCTTAAAAGAATAAGCTCGTAGAAGCAGGAAAGGGAAATCTATCACCGCAATGGTAATAGTGGTGTGTGTGAGTGGATTTATCTTCCTAAGGCAGGATATGTTACCCATTAAGGTAAAAGTATTTCCCATTGTTGGAGATGGTGCAGGTGTTGGCAGAGCTTGATCTCATCATTTCCAAATCATACATTTCTTCTGATGGTGGATGGTTAATGGATGGTCAGTATGCCTCCCTTTCCACACGCTCTGCACTTTTTTGTTATTTGCATGCCAACGTTAATCCTTATTTTCTGTAATTCTGTTATTTTCCATATATAACCATTTTTAAAATAAAAAGTTAATTTTTAGCTGAAGTTCACAACATTCTTGAATTAAGGTTTAACATATTTTTTCTTAATTGATGTTTGTTGAGATATTTTTCCCCTAACATCAACTATAATAATTTATATAACATTGATAGTGATTATTTTGAATGTCATTAGCTAACATTTTTTCTTTAGCCTACTTTTTAAATAATATTTGCACACACAAATATAATCCTATCAACACTAGCTAGTAATCAAAACATTAACTAATATGGACCAAAAAATAACATTTGTCAATATTTATGAAAAATAATTCTATTATTTTTCATCGAAAAATTAACTTTCTATCAATATCAACTAAAAATCTTTGACTTAAAACGATTTAATGTAGTTTCACTTTATCTTTGATAGAAAAATAAGCATTGA